CCTATAGTGAAAAATCTCTCCAAAAAAAAAAAAAAATTGTGTTTCTTTAGTTTCTGCTCATACTTTCTTCTCCAGCTTTCTTTCCAATCATGAAAGGTTGTCAGGACTATTTTGTAGTCTTTTTAAAATTTTTTTCTCCTGTCCAGAATCAGATGCAATGCTGCTTGTAAGAGGACACCTCTAAATTTCTCTTTGAAGGACTGATTGCTCTTGTTAGGTACTCCTAGATTCTACATAATTCCAAAGTTAAGATAATTTTTTTGCTTGCTCACAGCTTTGATTGATTTTCTTTCCTTTGGTGGCAATATTTACTTCAACAAAGTCAGCTCAACTGATTCAAATGAAGCTTTGTATCATTGCATTCTTACAATCACAAGAGTGTTAAAACTTGCCTGTGTTTAGAAAATTAGGAAAAAGACTATGGACAGAAAAAAAAAACCTTTGAAATCATTCTGTTTTTAAAACTTACTTTGCTTTATTTAAGTTCATGTATTTATTTCTTTTATGAGAGAAAGAGAGCGAGAGAGTGTTAACATACCCAGTAGCGACTCGATACTATAATCTATCCTAGTCACAACCTGCTCTGGATCATAGGCACCTACATTCCTGGCTTGTTCAGAAGCTCCTGGGACATGAACCCAGAACCTTCCCATGTGAGTCAGCCTTGTAGAATGTAATTTATTTTTTTACCAGAGAGCCATGTCTGATTCTAATACTTGTTATTTTTGATAGAGAACATTAATGTACTCCAAATAGTGATTTAAATATTAAATAAATATTTAATTTACTACTTTAGTAATAATACCATGAATAAGATTTCTATTAAATTCAATATTTAATTGCCAGAGGGCATGTGTGTGCTCTAAAGAGAGACAGAGAAACAAGAGAGGGAAAAAGCACCTCCCATTAAGGTGTGATTGTGCTGCAATTCCTCCCTCTCCATTTCTCCACCCGATCAGGATTTGGGGCATGCGTGCCCATCACCTGGCATGTCTTCCAAACTGTTGAGGCCAGAATTCAAACCACAATCATCCATGTGAGATCTGGTTCCCTTAACTAGGCTGCGGCTGTAAGACTGGCTCTAAATATTTATTTTTGTTGTAGGATTGTGGTGAGGACTTGGAGGGCAAGTGACATTTCTCATTGATGTGGGAATCTGCCAAAACATACTGGTTTGACTAGGTGGAAGCAGAAGTCGGCTTCATAGTTACCTTACATGTTCCCAGTGTTTGCCCATTGAACATTGGCTATGAACAGCATCCTATTGCATCAGGTCCTAGGAGTTTCAGAAGTCAGAAACCATTTTTCTAAATGTATTACATGTTCATACTAGGACACATGACATGGCTGGGAAACGCTTACTGAAGGAAGGCCTCTCTGGAACATAAAGGTGTGGATGTGGCAGAAAAGGCTAAGGAAGGAAGGGAAGATAGAGTCAGGAACACCTGACATCTGCCGGTTGGAGTGTGGAGGAAGGGACTGTTGCTGAAATGTAGGTTGAAGCAAGGTCATTGAAGGAGCAGTTGTTATTATTTTCAAATGTGCCTATTTGGGGCATTTATAAATCCAAAATTTACATTGTCTAGCAGGAACCACTTTTGAAATCTTAACTAATGATTTAAACATTTGTAAAGTGTTTAGTATGTGCCAGACACTGTGCTAGGAGGTGGGAGTTGTAATGAGGAATCAGATAGCTATGTCCCCTGACCTTATGGAGCTTGTGGTTAGCCTCTAACAGCTGAACAGGTAACTGCTGGAACAACTATCTGCATCCGCTAGATAACACAAGGGACCTAAAACATTCATGGAAAAGTGGAATTAAAGGAAGCGTTTTTACAGGTATAAAATATTTTTGAAATCTGTAGGTAGTCATTTCTTTCTTTCTTTTTTATTTTCTTTAAGAATTATTGGACTGCTGGGACCAGCAGTTGGCATAATGGCTATGTCGCTGGACTCCCATGTAGTCGACCGCGGTTCGAGTCCCGGATCCAGTGACTTAAACTCATGCCAGGCGCATGTACATGCGTGTACATCCCGAGAAGAGAATGGAGGAGAAGGGATTGCGATGTGGCCATCCCCCCTGGGGGGTGATTTCTTGCTTTCTATCTCTCTGTCTTTCTGGCAAGCACACGTGCCCTATAGCGAAACATCTCCCCCTCCACAAAAAAAAAAAAAAAAGAAAGAAAGAAAGAATTATTGGACTGCAGTTTTTCAGACAGGGTCCAACATATTGAGAAAAAACCTTTTGCCTTTTAAAAATGTTTGTGTTTCTGAAATAGCTAGCTATGCACATGTGACATGTATGTTCTCCCCGTACATATAGAGTGTACATACATGCTTGATTAAAGAGCAAAAGAAAAGAAATGATAACATTGGCTAGTGCTGTTTGGTTTCCACCTTCCATGTTCTTGGCCCAGTCTGTGCTGACAACAGCCACTGGGACGTCCCTTCAGTGCTGTGGGATCTTTTCCTGCCAAATATTGTTCTCTTGCAAGATTAAATAGCTGAATCAGTGTGGCCTGAATCTTGATCCTGCTGAGAATATTAAGACTCCTGCAGGTTGTAATACAGATTAGCTGGTGAGAGCTCTGTTGGAGAAATAAAGTGAGTTTCTCTAAATGAATTTAACAACTGCTGTGAACCTTTTTGTGTCCTCCCACACAAGTGTGTGTGCTGGCGGTTAACTATTTATTTCCCTCATTTTCTCCCGAACGGGCCCCAGTCCACCCCTGTGCATTTATTGTAAACACTTTCATAACTTTATTTGTGCATTCATGTTTTGCCAGATGAGGCGTTTGATACATTGGATTACTCAGTACTGTGAAGGGTGAGCCATTATTTACTTGATGTATTTAAGGAAAAGCCTTTTTTTTTTTTTTTGTACTTACAAAATGAGAGGCTCTAGTGTCAGTGACATAATTAGATAAACCACACCCCTGGGTTGTTTGGAGTAAGTGGATCAGCATATTGAATTTGGATCCTAGGCTTTACGTTAAAGGGTGTGACATATTTAGAAGAGGCAGAACAAACAGCCAAGAGTATTTACATTGCTTATGAACTTTACTCCATTACTATTTCTGCCTGTGTTTAGGGTTAGATCAAAACCATGAAAGGTTCGGGACCAGCACATGGTATAATGGTTACGTTGCTGGGCTCTCATATAGTTGACCATGGTTCAAGAGCTGGACCCAGCGGTTTAAAACTCATGCTGGGCATGTGTGCACACTTGCCCAAAATCCCAAGAGGAGAATGGAGGAGAAGGGATTGCAGTGTGGCTCTCCCCCCTGGGGTTGGTGCTTTCTGTTTCTCCGTCTCTGTCTCTCTGACGAGTGCACATGCTCTATAGCACAAATTTCAAATCTCTCTTAAAAAAAAAAAAAGAAAAAAAAGAGAGATGTTCTCAATTCCACAAAGATTATCTCGTGCTTCCCCCTAAATAAAGTAAGTTTAAAAATGAACAATAACAACATTGCACTAAGGCTTAGAACACACAGATAGCCTGAAGTAAGGAGGAGTTTGTTAGGTTGTCTGGCGGTAGACTCTGCGCAAGTTGGTGGAGCCTTTGTCTGTCTTGGGAGCCACTTACCTCTCCCCCGCGCAGAGCCTGCTCAGCCTGCCTGCTCTGCCGTCCTCCCTCCTGTTTCCTGTGCTCTTCCATTTGTCTCCCACACCTCCTCACGTGCGCGCACACACATGTGTGTAGGAGATTGCTCAGTAAAAATGCCTGTGACTGTGATTTGTAAACGTCAATCCACAACACAATGATAAAGAAATGGCTATTAAATTAATCAGTATTGGGACCAGCAGGTGGCGTGGTGGTTAAGGTGCTGGAACTGGTTTGACCGTGGTTTGAATCCCCAGACCTGGCCACTTGCTTTCTCACTTTCTCTCCTTTCTCTCTCTGTGTGTGTCTCTCTCTGGTCAAATTAATAATAAATGAATGACTAAATAAAATAAAATAATTAATTATTTAAAAAAATTGTTTTTACTTTTGCAAATTGCCCCACAGATTTTTTTGTTTTGAATTTGCTACAGTGTACTCCCAGGAGATAGGGGGTGCGGGTGACCACACCGCAACCCCTTCCCCTCTATTCACCTCTCGGGATTTTGGGCAGGCATGCATGCACATATGCTTAGTGTGTCTTTCAAGCTGCTGGGTCTAGGAATTGAACTGCACAGTTGCCTATGTGGGATCCAACTCCTTTAACCACCATGCCACTGGCTAGCCCACTCCATAGATTATTACTATGACATATTTAGTTAAGTCATGATTATTTTTAAAATTTTATGTGGTAGAGCATGCTTGTACCTACCTGGGAGAGAGAAAAA